ACTTTATTAATCAATCCCCGATTACGAGGAGGGAGGACCTTGCTATGTATGTATTAATCCAGCGACATAAGCATGAGGTTTCAATTCCGCCAGCTTTCTTTCACCTTCCATGCCCCCAGCAAAGTTAGTAGAATACAGTGGCTGCGAATTAGGAGGGCTCTGAAACAGCATGATATACGTACAGTACTGTACTCGAGTACCGTAAACCGCTGTCGCACTACATGGTGCGGTACGAGTACCGGGATCAAGCGGTCGGAGCGAGGAGGTACCGGTGCCTGCATCGACAATGCCCTCCGAACCACCAGATGAGTATGCTATTTGATACAGCACTTCTCGGGAGACTAGCTAGGGGCACCTTGTACCCCCCCGTGTGGTATGGTGGCGGTGGTGGCTATGATACGAGTACAGTACTTGGACAACTACATCTACGACTAAAAGTAGACAAGCGATCAAAATATGCTACCGGTACCCCTTATCCCCCCCCACCGCGGCTCTGGTAGCCGACCGGTTACCCGAGTATGGTACTGTACAGTACAAAGCTCCCCCGCGTCATAACTTTACAATATTCCCCGAATCGGCGGCACCGATACCCCCTGAATTGGCGCGACCAGTGAGTGAGTCAGTGGCCAACGAGTATGATGGTAGATACTCGCAATTCGCAAATCACAATCACGGGTTTCACTGCTGTCCATTTCACCAATCTCGTATCTGCTGCTCCTTCCTTCTTGCCGGAGCTCCACCTCCTGCTTCACCGTGTTACACCAGGAAGTACTTGTACTGCGCAACAGTACAGTACCATGCTATACTCCTGGATATCGGCACGGTAGGTACTGTAAGTATTATACTATTCGTACTAAAGCTTGTACGAGTACTTAGGGTGTGAGCATAAGTGAGGCGAACCCTCCTCGTACTGGAGGATTTTTCAATGGGGGGCTTGATAGAGTTGTGATGGTGATTGGCTAAAACCTGCTGCCAAGACACCTGAAATGGAGGGGGAAAAAAGTGAGGTGAACCCTACATGTATCTGATATATAAAATATTTATAAAAGGTGAGAGTGGGAAAGGAAAAAAGGAAAAACTAGTATACATTAATCTGAGATAGCTTCTCCATTAATATCAATGACAGCTTAAAGCCTGGGAGGCATACTATCAATAAGATTAGAAAGGCATTCTGATGTTATATTCCTCCATGCCCCCTGTATCATAAGTACCAAAGTATCCGGATCAGCTGCCCTCCCAAAGATCTGATCAAGCTCAGTTTCTATGTCAGCCCATAAAGCTTCTATCAAATTCAAATCCAGAGGTTGTGGAGGCCAAGTAATACAATCCATCCCCCATTCGTTTTGTATATCCTTTACAATACCCTTATACCCTGGGGCATTATCTTCTACGATCATTGTCCATCCATACATCTCACAAGCTCGTATCCAAAATAGAAGAAGAAAGGGTAGTAAAATATAGTATGAATATTTTTTTGAGTTGATCGTAGACCCCTGAGGAACAATATAAAGGTCTGACTTTAGGGTATTGCAAAAGGCACCCCAAACCATTACCGACTTTCAACCAGATCCCCAAACATGATCGATGCAGTCTGGTGGATACTCCTCATCTGCTTTTCATATTACCCAGGGCCTATGACTAAATCCAGCTGTAGAAAAACTAGATTCATTGGTCCAGAGCACCTTTTCCCAGTCTTCTCGTGACCAATATATATGTTCCTGACACCATCTAACTCTTAGAGGCTTGTTTTTCTCACTTATTCCCCATCTATTATTATCATAATTATTAGTATTTACTTTAAATCTTTATTAATAAGAGGCAGTCCAGGGCATCTAAACTGAAAAAAAAGAATAAATAAAAAAAGAATTTGAAAAAATAAAAATAAAAAACAAGGTACTTTTTATATGGTAATCTTTTATGATAACCTAAAGATGCTAAACCATCACAAATAGTGCGAACTGAGCAACTATAACCCATTTTAACTATAATTTCCTCCCACTAAAGCTGGCGTATTTGTTGATCACAAGTAACAAAAGCAACTAGTCTTTGGTTTTCCGATTCAATGAAAAGAACAGGAGGATCAATCCAGGATTGATTTGAGAGAGATCCATAAATCATGGATCGCTGGTATATTTTTTGACAGGTTTGATAATCGATATTCACTTTTCCAGAAATTTGCTATCCTTTTCCTTTAGTCATATCATCAATTTATTACTAAGAATTCATACCTTCCAACTCAACCCTACCCAGTTTTGCAGTGTTACTACCTCCAGCCGCTGATCTCGTGTGGTTTCATGTTGTTTTTGGTTTCCATCCGGTACTTAGTCTTCTCATTGTCCTTTATTCTTCATTATAAAAAACTCGTTTGTGGGATATAGGTATCAGTGTTGAATATAGGACATATCGGAATAGGTGTTGATGGACCTGAAGGTGGTTTGAAAACTCTGCAATCCTGCTAAAACTATTTAACATTAGCGCTATACTATAATAGCTAATTTGAGTAGTCTGAGTGGCGAGCCAATCATACCCCCCTTCGCCTCACTTACCCTTAACCCCCGGTACAGTACAGTACGTTACTCTTTACCTGCCTTGCGCATCGGGTATCGTATCATAATTAAGGTTTTTTTTCCTTTTTAATTATTGTAGTCTATCGAGGGAATGGAGAAGTTGACATGTGCTTTGGCGGTCGGTGGTGGGTAACTGGTACGTTTGCTTGGCAGGGCTGACGTTTGGTCATTGTTTACCGGGATCGGTACTTGTATCATAATATTATTATCATGGTCTAATGGGGACTCGCAGTGATCGGGTGCCAAAGCGAGAGCTTGGGAGGAACCAAGTCGTGATAAGTTAGGGGGGGGAGGGGGTAGGAGAAGGAGGGGGAAACAAATGTATACGAATCCATCTAGCTCGATGAATGATTTTCTTCTACTCTACTTCATATATTGGCTGGCACGGAGAGCTTGGGTTCCAAGTATCAAGCAAGTATGATACCGGTAAATCCCCCATCAAATGCCCAAGATCCAGCAATTATTTCGGCCATCAAATCGCAACGCATCCACCACCATCGATCCGTGTCGACCCGTCAAAGCTGACATAACATGACCTCCCTGGGGGAAAAGAATAAAAAAAATCGAAAGAAAAAAAAGATCAATGATTTACTGACTATTAGAGAGAATCGGTTTGATTGACTTTCCCTCTCGCTCCCAATGCGGTCAGGTTTCCTCCCACTACCGTACTCTACTCGAGTATGATACAGGTGCTCCATGACACTCAAGCACCGGTACTGTACCCTCCCGACAGCCAAGTCAGCAAATACTCGAACACAAGCACCACAGCATAACCACCCAACCACCCAACCACCCATCCCGACCCCAGAACAGGTATGGTACTGTACAGTACTGTACTGGTATTTCACTTGAGTGAAAAAATAATGAAAATAATAAAACGGGTACGGGCCAGCTTACATATCTCTTCACAAAGTATACGTACACTACCGTAATCGGACATGCCCGTTGCGGGGTCGAGAAAACGGGCGAAAATTGAAAGCCGAGCCGTTTAATTCCCCCCTCCCGGGGAGACAAAAAGAGATATTACAATGTTAATATCAAACCAAACCTTACCTACCAGAGGAGGCAACTCGAACGACACAGAACACACGTAAAAAACCCAATCATATTGGAGATTCGACGGCAACCCCATTCCGACGGACGGTCCAGCACGTTCTGTCACATTTTCCCATGGATACGGCAACGTGCTCTGCCTGGGCTGGATTGGAACTGGCAAGAAGTGGTTATAATTTATGCCGACGCCAACGATTCCGCTTACCCTGTCCTACCCCATTCATTCTTTCATTCTTTCATTCATTCCACCGCCTGATCTGATCTTCACAACCTTTCTGGCGCATCACTGCAAGAACAGAAGGAAAACAACGGCTGTGCGAGTAATCGACACTTTTGCATATCACGACCGACTATCGTGACGCTATCGGATTGCTCCTGTGAGGGTGGTGTGGGGGGGGGGGGGTAAGCAAGGGTACCGACGACCACATCCTCCTCTCGCCGACGGGGTGGGGCAGCCGAGAAGATTCGAGGTTGGGATTTGATGGGTGGTTTGATTTCCTTTACTTGTGAGATATATGACTGATAGCATAGCAGTAATACCACCATACATCACCGGTTAGTACGGCATGGAACCCCCCGAGGAAAACACGCACTTTGGATACCGGTATTTGATTTCGCACCAATAAAACTTGGGCTGGCCTGGTCGGGTCATGTTTTGGTTTTGGCTCGGTCTGTATCGTGTTCAGATTGAAATCGAGCAGGAAGTGAATGGTTGCACAGTACAAAGAAAGCCAAGTACTCCAGTACTCCAGTACTCGTAAAGAAGGGTGTGGCCACCATGACAACAGCTATGGTATGGTGGTAGGAGGGAAGCTCAAGCTTAAGCTCGGCCAAAAAAGCTAAATTCGAGAAAGCCTAGTGGGCGGGGAAAAGAAACTCCGATAAAACAAAATTTAATGTATGATAAACTTGACTTGAGAGAAACAGAAGGGAAAAAAAAAAATTTGTAAATGGAAGAAAACAGAGAACGCTGCTCTCCGTGATTTTCCCTCCTTCCCTCCCTCCCTCCCTTCCCCCTCCTGCTCCCCTATCGGCCCATGCACCCCTGTCCAACCCCAACTTCACCCCACCACCGAATCAAAAACACAAGTGCAAATGCAAATGGGGTGGTGTAGCGAATCACAAACAGAAGCAAAAAAGGAAAGAAAGCGAGAAAGAAAGAAAGAAATATTCCAAATTAGCCGCCTCCTGCCTTTTGGTGCCACCAGAGGGGAAAAAAAAAAAAAAAAAACCAGAACAGGTATGCGGGGGCGCTGTAGTACTCGTGCAGTGCGATACTCGGGCTGCACCGCACTGCACGATTGTTGTTTGTTGTACTCGTATGTGGCCGGCTGGCTCCCTCAATGCATAGCAACTCTTGGTTAAGGCTTTGGATCTCGATTTTCGATATTTCAACATTTTTGGCTTGAATTGGGTTTTTTTTTTCTTCTGGTTTTTTCTGTGTAATGTCTCCTTCCCCTTTCGCATCCCTCCCATCCCATCTCGTACATCCACGCCAATTTCGCCATGCCCCCGAATTGCGCCACTTCTCCGGAATTTTTTGCAAAAGATAAGGGAATGGAATAGAAGAGAATAGTGCAAGGAAAGGGAAAAAGAAAAGGAGAAAAAAAGCTTTTGCCCAGGCTCAAGTTCGAATGGGAGACAGGGGATGAGAGAGAGGAAAGTGAAAAATGGTAAAAGGAATAGAATAGAATAAAGTCAGAGAAAAGGGCCGGGGGGAACCCACAAAGGGGGGGAAATCGATAAGAAAAAAGAGAGAGAAAAAAGGGAAAAGGGAAATCGGTTTCCTTTCCTTCAAGTTTATTAATTGTAAGACATTCCAGGTGGTGAAGATTCCATTAGCAACTCATCCCGGCCGCTGCCTGATGAGGCGTTAATGGCCTCGAGGATGACGCTTTCCTCAAAGACCGGTCCCTGCCCATCACACCGGGCGAGCCCCTTCAACCTGTCGGAGATGTCACCGATGTCCACAAGGCCTTGCTCGTACAACGGATGGCAGACGATCAAGTCCCACGCGGCCCCAGCACCCAAGAGTCGCTCGCCCGTCTTCGGGCTCGTCGAAATCCTGTGCAGCGGGCCTCTGTTTGGGTGTTCCCCGAATATCGGAGACGTGAAGGCTGGAGGGGGATTGGCGATGTTGTGGTGGTCCGTCGGCTTGAAGTTCATGTTTGCCACTTCGGTCATTGCCGGCGGTGAGTTGCCTCGCAGACTGTTCTCTTGCAGAAGTCTGTTTTCAAGTTTGGTCTTTTGGAGCTCTTGCTTCAGTATCTCGTTTTGTGACGCTGTTTCTGATGCGTGCTGCTCCAACGTCTTGAGTCTGTGTTCCAGCTCCTTAACATGTCGTTCCTTACGCTCCCGAAATGCACGTTGCCTACAAAAAAACTCGGATCTTAGTCTTGTTGCAGCGGGTGAGAGAGGGGGCAAGTGACATCAAGTCATGTCACTCCCACCCACGGTGGGTGGTCCTTACGCTGCTCGATTCTGTTCTTTCCGTCTCTGTGTTGCTGTCAGGGTACCATCCATTGAAGCATTGGAGTCATCAGCGGTCTGGCTTACCCGCTGTCCCGGTGTCAACTCCTTTTCTTCACTGCTGCTCCTCCCATTCCTGTGTGTTTCTGGGTCAATAGGAGTATGACCTCTTAACGATGGCGTAATGTTGTGATGGCTTTGCTGTTCAAAAAAGTCGAATGTAGGGTAGTTTGGGAACGACTATAAAACGGTTAGACCGGAATCTTGAGGGGCGGCAGGGTAATGCTAACCAGAGATGAAAACTCATCGGCCTGGTGCGAGGATGTAGGGGTAGGTTGGTAGATTGCTTGGGGTTGTGTAAAGAAGGTTGGCTGGTAGGAAGCCATTTTTAAGAGATGAAAGTGGTTAAACAAGGAATTTGAATGCCCAAGCCGCTCCCAATATTCTCTGTGAAAGCCAAAGGCACCGATGCTGGCTCAGGGAGTGTGTGAAGGGTTCACCAAAGTTGAGGAGGATGCGAAGGATTTAAGAGTGAGGCTCGGGTGAGACGATAGGGCTGGGTTGTAAGGTGGTGGAACCGGGTCAAGAGGAAAAAAAGGCAAGGTGCTTTAGGATCATGCGGTTAGACGTCAGGAAGAGTTGAAGAGATGAAGACGTGACTATCTCAGTGCCGAGGAGACGATAAGGTAAATATGGATGTATGTACGAGTAGACCGCGGGAGGGGTATCGTGCTAAGAGGCTTTCCGTGGGGCGGAGCCCGATCTTTATGGCGCGGATCAAGGACCGCACTGTGCTAGCACAGGGCTGTGGGGGTCTGGGTTGTGTTCCTGAAGTTAGAGACAATGGATTATCATGCCTCCAATGATAAGCGAATGTGTCGAGTGGCAGCACCTAATAGAGGGCAAAAGCGAACAAAGCAAACCAAGCGCACGAGGCAAAGAGAGGACTTCGGTACCAGTGTAATAGGTTATGGAGGCTATTTTTCGCTGAGATATGCCGGTAGTATATCCACCACGAGAGAGAACTAGATGTGAGCGCTGGTGATACCGTACTTTGAAAGTTTTGACGAACGGATACAGGTGTACGGCCGAGAATAGAGAAGCGGGGGGGGGGAAAGGTGCCTCCGTAAGGTAGTAAACGTGGGAGGGAGTGTGCCGGTCGTGCCTGGGGTTGCTTGGCCTCTCTGGATCTCTAACGTCCTTTCCTTGTTCAGCCCCCGCTCAATGAATGTGCTTACGGCCTACCGTACGTATAATTGGCCAGAGAGCTGAGTGATCCCCTTGCCAGTAGCGGCAGCAGTACTGGAACCAAAAAAAAAGGACTGATAGAAAGAAAGAGGAGACAGTATCGTAGCAAGACACAATAAATATACAATTATTTAAGATGGACAGCGGACAAAATAGTGCAGACCCATTTAAAGTGCCGCTACGGAGAAGTACCGCACAAATGAAGCATTGTGTTTCTTTGAAACTTTGGACTCTTGTTCCCCGCCCTTCTGTGCTTATTCTTCACAATGTTCCAAGAGTAAGATAATATGAAGCTGAAGAGACCGCCCGAATTTTGTAGTGCCAAGTTGATCATCTCAATCCAGAATATCCTCAAATGCAGCACCCGTCGTCCTATTATGCAAAGGGCTCAGAAAGTCTGGAAGGGAGGGTACCGCACACCAGCACTTACTCCAGAGTTGAAAGAGCTATTGAACAAAAGTACTAGTACAAGCACTGCACTCGCACCTCCCAAACGCTTGGTCGTTGGCCCATTTCTGGTGCCGTTCCCCGGCCTCATCCCTGCCCCCCTGTCTCCCCGCTTCCTCGGACGTCTCAGTACGAGTACCGGAGCGCAGTCAATCCGTTACCACCGGCCAGAGTTGGAAAAGAGTACCGTAGAGCATTGATTGGTCAGGGCTGGAAGGCGGTCCAAGGCAACTGCCGCAAAAAAGACTTTGAATTCTAAGTTATCTACCGATCGAATTTCCACCAAAAGAACTAGGCTCGAGAATTGCCTGAGTGTACTCGTATGATGATGGCACTTTTTCTTTCTCGTGATCGAGGTGGCCTGTCCCTAGTCGCCGACGTGCTAGCTGTGCTAGCACAGTACACGGGTTCCTTTGACCCTTTTCATCACCGCAGGACTTGTCATTGGAACATTCGCGCAATGCATGAGTACCGGCACTGTGGATAGGATATCCAATGGCTTTCACTGTGCGACGAGAATACTCGAGCAATTGGATTAGTTCTCGCGGGTATACATATCGCTTAAAATTTCTTTATCAAGTAACTTAGTAGCTCGCTCATCAAGCAAGTGAAATCCCGTTTGTCTTGCCCGGAGCAAAAGAGCAACAACGGTAGCGACACATCGCCAAATCAAGCGACGGCTTATGCGTCGGAGCCGCCCGTAGAAGTTTCTTTGTCGAATCTACATTTCCCATCAATAATTATCAGCCGGAGTTGTGATGCTTAGATGCTCCGGCCCTGGGTCGCCAGGATAGAGAACCCATATTACTCGAGATGCAGTGCTCCATTAAGCGGCACCCCAGAGTTAAGAGCAAGGCAGAAGTTGGTGCATGCATATTCGTAAGCAGAATGCAGCGTAGGGGGAAGTTAAGCTTTAGCAGCGGCTCGGAAAAACGTTGGTGTTAATCGACTTGGAGAAGAAAAGCATCTCTCATGGGGTCCGGACTCGTCCCCGTTAAAAGCTACCAACAGAATGCAGTTCGTTTCGAGAGTCTGAGTACTGCGGCATGTCCTTCCTTAGATGATATCGAGACCGGTAGAATTCCTTCCCGAATCGTTCCTGGAAAGTCCAAAAGGAGGGAACACAAAAGCGTGTAGGAAGAATGTTGCTTTTCCCAATGGGGCCAACTAGGAACCCAACAACCGATGTACGAGTAATGCTCTCTTGGACATGTGGATTGGCTACGCTCCACAAATGTCTCGACAGGAGGAAGCCACATTACTTGTAGTTCACCTTCCAAAAATTTTAAGCTCGAAAAAAGCAAGGAACGCGGTAACCGGGCTGTGATCACTCATGAGGATCATTAAATGCCGTCGAGATTCACTGATGATCAGGTGTTAGGCTGGAATTTGGATGTAACTGAGTGTTTCATTTAGTATGGCGCTCGATACGGACACCCTCATCGGGGGTCTTCCAAAAGTGCGGATATTGATGTGGCGCCGCGTCGGCTATGGAGAAAGGAAGCTCCGACTCCGGTGATTCGTCTGAAGTTTCCGGGCACCAGACAGCCGCCATCTACCGAGGTCAAATTCAGGATCACCGGTCAGACTTTGCTGTGACATCCACAGTCGGATCTTAAATTCCGGTATCGCCACATTGCGGCACAAGATATCCTCTAATGGTCGAGGGTACTCGGGTAGGATGGTGTTCCCTAGGCGGCAAATGACAGGACAGTGCTCCTGAATAATTATCGACTGCGCCAATCTTCTAAGGATTTCACACTGCGATACGGAAATTAGTTTGGGACGTATTGGATAGCGATCGTATGACAAGCATCAAGGGAGCGCGCGCTTGCAATATCAACGTATTGAGCTGAAACAACCCGCCAGCTTGGTTCCTTTGTTTGGAACCTTTAAACCCTCGCACGATGGTAACCCGATCTGGTATTGTAGATGATGCATATTTCTTCTCTCGATCCTTGGTAGATTATTGACGAAGCAAAGCAATCTTGTTAACCTTGGGCTCGGCCTTAGGCGGCCTATACCCACCCGTATGACTCTTGGGTGGGTTGGGGATACGAGTAGTACCGCACAGTATATTGGTGCCTTCATGCGTTGGGAGTCCGGGTTCCAGGGTCGGTATGATACCATAACGCCCAAAACTAGAGGCTTATGTACTGGACCTCCCTCCTGTCATTTAAATCCTAGACAAAGAGCCATGCACCCTTCTCGGCCAGGGAAACTTCTCGCCTGCAGAAAAAAAGGGTTTAAGTTTAGGCATGTCAGATGGCAAGACGCCCTGCGCATATTCTAGTATTGCTGGATAGGAATATTGCTTTTGTGAGTATCTTCTCGCAATGGACGTGATAGGCTGTTGAGCACTTTAATGGAATGGTGCTGTCTTTTCCAGAGGGCAGATTGTATCACCCTTAGAGGCCATCTTTTTTGATCCACAGGGAATTATCCATCGCAGCAAAGATTGGTAGATACTCCAACTTCGTCTGGCAGAGTGTTCGTGGCGCTCTCTAAGGCATCCTTATTGCTCGAGTGATAGAAGTTGTGAGAATGCCAGTATAGAGGGTTTAGGTTGAAATCCAGTATCCAGAGCAGGGCGGTGGGGAAACCGCAATCACCCTACTTGTATAAGTTAATAGGCACTACTCAATGTAGATGCGTTAGCATTCGCAATGTTCTTGTTAAGTACTTAGTACTCGAGTAAGGTTGGGCGTAGGATACCAAACTATCCCGCCAATTCACCAAGACCACCGGCCACAGCCGACGTCTACCCGAGCAAACGTTCCAGCAAACACCAAAAATCCAGGCCAAAAGTCGAGCAGAGAGCACTCCTCAAGCCTCTCAAGCTCGGGGCATTCCTCCGAATAAATAACAAGCAGCGGGCAGACCAAGTCCTCCTCGCTGAACCCAATCCATCTACCGAGTGTCAATCCCCAACTTCCTGCGCGAGAGGAAAATTGTAAGCATCGCAAAGAAATGTGTAAGCCATGGATCAGCCTGGGCGCCTGTCTCCTAGAGGTAACTCGAACCAATCGTGGACAGATCTTCCCCCACGGCGACAAGTAGATACCCGCAATACCGGTATTGGAGTTCGGGTTAGAGTTGTTACAGATCTCTGCCGAGACAGCAATTATGACAAAGCCGAAGCTTGAAAGGGGGGGGCGTCCAGACCTCGCGCTTGTGAATAGTCGACTTTTTACCTATTTTTCCTCATCTTGCTTCTGCTACAGGTAGAGTTACTAGAAAGTCGGGTATCATGTTTATTATTATTATAACTTGTCAGGGATATGAGAGGATATTAGAGAAAAGGAAGTGGTATTTTTGATCATTGACAATACTAAGACTTATCTACCCTTTATGAGATGATTTAGAAGGTAGGGCATTGCTCTTGTGAAAATCCTTTGTGATTTACTAGATCTTAATACAATCGAAAATGTTTGGTCTCTAGTAAAAGATATGCTCTATAAGCACTATCCAGAGCTATTTCTTGTAAAGGGTCCTATCAATCAAGTCGCAAACGCAATACATTATTGAAAACCTTTGGACCCGAAGGTGTCTGATACTTTGGCAGAGTCAAGAGTGGATAGAGTAGAGGCAATTACAAAGGTGGATGAATGGTATATCATGATACCGGTAGTGGGCTGGTGGGGGAGTGTGGTTGTCATCACCAAAGATTTTCCCACCAGTGATCCGCAGTTAATTTTGTCCACAAGCAATAACGAAGTACTGTACTTGTATTGTTAGAGGTATGATACAAGGCACAGGGGGGATGATTTCGGATTATTTTGCAGGTTAACCTAAACTAACTGATTGGTAAACTTTCTGGGGGGCACTGTACTGTACTATACACTTTGGCCACCATTATTGCATTGATGAACAAGCAAATGATTCATGCCACTCGGGAATGCATTTCTTTGCTAGAGCGGGAGGCATCTTCGATGCCTGATTTCCTCACTTCAAAAAAATCGATACCAATTATCATACTGTCGACATTGGCCCTAGCAATTTGGCTTATACCGTAGTCTTCTGGTAAATTTAGTTGGGGGCGTGGTGGTATAGGGTGTGTCAAGGTGTCAAGTAATGCTCACAATTGGTTGCGTCGGAGAAGGCGGATAGCACTTCGCTTCCTGAACTGTTTGGGTAGTCTTAACTAGATGTACAGTACAGTACTCGTACAGTACACTACTGCAAGGACGAAACCGGACCCGCAGAGGGAGCACAGACGATAGGCAAGCCCCGCTCACTCTTAAGGAAGGTAGGCAATCGACGTCTTCGAAGAAAAAAAAGCAGGAACCGGTGAGTTGCCGGAATCGTGAGCGCATGCAGAAAGCAGCGAAAGAAAAAGAAAGAGAGAGAGCAATCAATTTATGCTGCGGTCGTGTTCTCGAAAGCGTTCGTTGTCCCCGTCTTCGTCGTAAAAGGAGCGTGATGGACTGTGGAATGGGGGGGAGGGTTCCCTGATATATGATACAGTATCATACCTTTCCCCGATGGTCGTCTCCACGAACACCCTGTATGACTATCACCTCAAGGGTACGGTGACCCTATTGAAATCTAGCGAAAACTATCATAATTATCATAGAAAAACCCAGGACACACAATTGAGGGTATTGCAAAAGGAGGCGTGATATTATGATATAGTGACATTTCTGCCCCGAGAACCTATCAGATCCTGGCACTTATTTCCCCATTCTGCCCGATCCTCTCTCCTCCCCTCCCACCCGCGACAGCTGAGAATACCCAGAACACCGCGCGGAACTGATGGAAGGAAGGGGAACAAAGGAAAATCGAAAAGTGCAAAACCGAGTCGACAAATATCTCTGACTTGATCCGGTATACAACGGGAAGCCTCCGAGAGATCTCCGAATTGCCCAAGGGTGGGTTTTATCGGGCTGCAGGCGCAGGACCAATTGCGGGGAGAGGGGATGGTCTTCAACTCCCTGGGGTCTCAAGGAGTCTGCGCCGTTGTATTTGTATTGCGCTGATTTGAAATATATCACACTAAGCACACCCGAACCATCCCTCCGATTCATTGGTCTCAGATTAGTCTTCCACCTCCACTTGGGCGGGATAGAGAAACAAATAATAAAGCACCCTCCTGCGAAAGAAACAAGTATTCCTGTTCTGCCCACTATAACCTTGGCAAGGACATAGGGGCGCATGGTTTAGGGGTATAATATCTCATTCGCAAGTCCTGAGAGACTGAATGTTGAGATGGTCCTGGGTTCGATTCCCAGTACGTCCAATTTCATCTTTTTTTCGTCCAACTTCGTTGGAGGCGGGATCTAGGACGGGCAAGATTCTTTGGTGGGTAGGTGCGCACATGACCACAGGATAGGTATTTGGTGGGGGGGTATGGGCTTTGAATCAAGTCTGAACTGATGGACCTTGTTTATCGTAGGCAGATCGAATGTGTGATATTTGGGGGAATCATCATAGATTAGGAATTAAGGAAGGTTAAAAATAGATAATATTATATGGAAAAAAAAATATTAGAAAAACCCCCACCCCCAGAATCCCGTGACAACCAACGAACGCCCTTATGCTGTTTCCCTCTGCCCCTGGATACTATATCATGCTCAATCGACCGACCGGCGGGCTAACTAATTTTGTTTCTTTGCTTGAGACCTTAGCTCCATATCACCCTCCGCGAGTGAACCTGCAGCCTTGACCATCTGGACAACGTTGATCCACTGCTTAGCAGCACAAATGGGGAAGGTCATGGCCGCGACTACCCACGGCCAACTCCAGGTGTTTCCGACGATGGAGAATTGCGGGAAGGAGAGAAGGTACATGCTGAGAAAGAACAATTCGTTCGCAGCACAGAAGGTGAAGAGTATTTTCTAGAATCCGGTCCCATCTCACACCGTTAACAACCCCACTCTAATCATGAAGTTACACCTCAGGAATGGGGGGAAGAAAAAAACGAAAACGGGGCAAACATTATTAGAATAATACAGGTTCAAAACCCGGCTCATTTTCTTCTCAACTTTTTTGTGCGACCCGGCGCCCCTCTCTAATGAGGCATACATGTGCATGTAATGGCTCGCCAGGTCCAGGGATATCAACCCCTGGAAGAGAATCGCCCATTTGGTGTATGCGCTACTAAGGAAGCAGAGGAGGCATGCGGTGGTGCACCTATCCGTTACCATGTCGAGTACCGCTCCGAACTTTGTGCTCTGGTTAAACCGCCGGGCGGCCCAACCATCGAGCGCGTCGAGGAGGCAGGAGAGCGTGTACAGGAGTGTGCAGTAGTGCGGGTGGTAGGACATAAAGTATAAGGAACAGCCGGCGAGGGCGATGCGCGAGTAGCCGATTAGGTTGGGGATGAAGAGAAAGATGTTTTCGTTGGTGGTGGTGGAGCGCGACATGGCTTGACTACTGCCGTTGGTTGTCGGCATTGTTAATGTTATCGTCGTGTATGTGAAGCGTGGAAGATGGGGAGGAGGGGGGGAATGGAAGGATGGAGAGGAAGGCTGGGGTTGTCGCTCGCTGACTCCTTAACACCACGTAAAAAATTTCCTTGATCTTCTGCGGTTCTCTTTGCGACGGGGGATTTGCTTGGGGGGAGGCGGTGAATGGTTAAATTCTATGGACCTCCCTTACGGGCTGAAAATTTCCCGGAGTATCGTCAGGCCCCCACAGCTTCTTCCGTCGACGTGTCTGGCGAGTGTGATAGGAGCCTCGAGCTTCGATTTCGGCTTTGAATAGCTCCGTTGAGCCTCATGAGGTCGGGGGCTTGGTAGTGGTGGGTGCGAGTGTGAAGGTTGCAAGTGTTTGGGTATGAGCTTTGTGGTGTCTATGAAAGTGCTGAAGCGGTCGGGAGAGGGAAAGTGTAGACTATGGGGAATGACGGGGCTCGGTGAATCCCTGAAATAACTCGTGACACAAGATGCTGCCCTATTAAGAGGGCTTTGAGGCGCCTTCACGAGTGATCCGCACTGACGGCGATACCGTTGGATACTGTCTTTGTACAGTACGTTTGAGGAGTAGGATATCGTACTCATAAAATTCACACTCTATCATACGCCTGGGAGATGTCTACATATCTTAGGTGCTAGGAAAGAGGAGGGGGGCCGTAACTCAATATCTCTGCAAGTGAGTCAATAGGTAGTCTATAAGAGGAGAGAATTTTAATTAACCACCGCGACCTCTGCAAAATTAGAACTACATTCTTTCCGAATACCCAACCCAAAGTCGCTATAATACACCAAAAAAAAAAAAGGCGAATTGGCTTCACAAATAAGCAATTTAGTCTCGGAGCCACCACCATCAAAAAAGGGTACCATACGAGGGAAAATAAGAAGGGAGAAAGACTAAAGGCAAATATAAAGTAAAGGGGGAATGTTTAAAAATCAAGAAATCGCCGCTCGACAATCGGCCGCCTAGCTGCTCATAGATGACGCTGTAACCTACGAGTTACGGTTCTGCACTGCCGAGGAAAGTCTTTTGAACGTATCCATAACACTCTTTAGCCCAGAGGCATTCTCGACGAGATCCTTCGCCGGGATAGCGCCCGTGAGGTCCAACAGCTGGCGCTTGAGCTCCTTGTGCGTCTCATAAGTATTCTGTTGTCCTTCGTGCTCCTCGTGCGCATCTTCCTGCGCATACTCAGCATAGCGCTCCTCCTCTGGATCGTCAGTTCTCTTGTCAAGGGCTCCTTGTGGTGTCTTGACCGGCATACCCGGTGGGAACGAGGCATTCTCCGGGCGGACCGTGCGTTCAGTATCTTCGAGTGCGGCGGAGTCGAGTTGGCTGTCTGCTTTTGCTTTTGCAGAGTCGATACTGGATTTACTGAAGCCTCTGCGCTTGACCCTTGACGTAACGCCGCGGACGTCTGCGACAATTGCAGCAAGTTTTTTGATCCTAGCGACTAGGTCCATCGGTTTCTTTACCTCTGTTTCTTCAGCGATAGCGGCCTTTTCAGCGTCGGAGAGGAGCGGCTCGGCTTCCGCTATCTCACGCTTAACTTTGCTGCCGGTGTTGAAGAGACCACTGAGGAATGGGAGTTTTCCGAGAAGGTCCCCACCGATCTGTGCCTCTCCCTTGTTGAGATTGGGGGTGTCGCGCCCGCCGAGACCATCAGCTAGGGACCCGATAATGGGGAGCTTGTTGATGAAGTCTAACCCGGGCACTAGTGGGGTTCTCCTCTGATTCTGCCTTTGAATGTTCGGTTCGCCGCGGGCACCCAGTCCGAGACTACCGGCGAGCGGAAGGCCGCTGAGCGCCCCGGTGGCGGTGCCAAGGCCCTGCATCGCGGCAGCCATCCCGAGTTTCGTGTCGTCGTCACCGGTGATGGGTTGCTTTGTATTCTTTTTGAGCGCTTCGGCAGCCACAGCGGCGGAGAGGTCTCGCGCGATCGATGGAGCGGCTGTCGCGGCAGCAGCGGTGGGAGCGGGGGTGGATGGAGCAAGCATGGATGATGGGGATTTGTTGTGAAGGTCGAATTGCTGGTTCCCTTCCTGGGGAAACGGCGCAGCAACAGCCAATAATGTAAAAAGAGAGAGAAGAATGGAAGTTTGGGAAAGCATGGTTGCTTGGTGGCGGGGACTTTTGCAAAAAAGAGTGGATGTAGTTGGGATATTGTAAGGGCAATTCTCAGGCATGGGGTTAGTGTGAGTACAGGTAGGGGAGTTTGAGGAATATCTGTTTGTCACTGAAGAGGAAAAAGATTAGGAAGGAGTGTGAGAGGGGTATATAATGACTTCATTCCAGATGGCGTATTGTGGTTCAAATGGTAAACAGAGGAAGCGGCAGTCGGGAATGCAGGAATGGAGATTACAGAACTGCTGAACAGTGAAGAGGAGAGGTTACCAACGCGTCCTTGCTTCTGATATTTTAGACGAGTACGGTCTGTGGTGGAATTCGTTCTCTTGGAGGAGTGAGCGAGAGGTTGGGCTTCGTGGTTATGCAAGGAGTTTGTCGATCAGGAACAAAACCGGGCTTGTGAGAGAGGATGTGCTATTCTCTAGCAATTCTTTTTACTGGAGTCCCAGACCGGGTTTGCGGATTGGTGCCAGTATAAATCTCAAGCATTAGTTGCCACTGCCGTACCAGAGAGGCGTCGGAGTCAAGCATTTTAACTAAGCAATGATCATGTTGTCATGTTTGAGGGTCAGAACAGGGGCTCAACAACTCTCTTGCGGTCATTCTTGGCGGGGGCCTAGTCCTCGAGTAGCAACCCATCGGTTGTAGCAAAATTATCAGTTTTCTCTTATCAACTCACCGAACTGCCCCTCTGAACCCCTTTGGAATGCACCCCTCTCCACCCTTTTAGCACGGCGTTTTCTCCAAATCCATTCCGCACTTCTCCACCTTGGGGAAAATTGGGAGCTTCAGGCCTTGCTTTATGTGTTGTGCAAACTGGAAAAAAAGAGACTCGGATTCGATAATGTTCTGACTTATGTTTTTGAGAAGGTTATGGATTGTCTCTGGAGCTAGCTATTAGCCGGACGTAGGTGGTGGTTTCCCGAGCCTAGTGGGGTTAGCACCGGGACGTGAAGCTGGTGCGGCACTCAATATTTGTTAGGGTGGAAATAGACATTGGCCCTGATGTACTCGAGTAGTTCTTTAGAGAGGTGAGTTCAATATTTGCTACGGGAGTATCATACCTGTAAAAATTACTATCCCTCGTCGCCTGCTACTCAGATTTGTGCAGTTTTCACAACTTTATGGGGTGGCTAATGGCCTTGTGTCAGCCTGGGACTTCCGCTAAAGGCAATATGTCCGGGGCATTTGTTGTGGCCCAACAAGTGGAAGGAGCGGGTTGGGTTCCTAAGTTTGAGCTTCTTCGGACCTCTCGACAGTAATATAGACGAATGGATCTGCAAAGCTGGTCTTCATTTGGTGATTCCCGAGAATGGGATCAAATTCCTTTCTCTTATGCAAAATCACCGATGGTGGTCTTTCGCTTCCACCGATCCCCCCCATGATCTTTTGTGGGGGGCAATGAAACAGCTCCGAAGTGACTTGGGAAGCCGATGCCCCACTACCACGGAAAAAAAAGAGATACAGTCAAATGGCAAAAGTCCATGTATTAAGGAGCTGAGCTCGAATTTTGCAGTTAGTTTTTGAGTTGACTAGAGGGAAACATTGGCATCATACCTCCGGATTGTCCTTAAATATTGCGAGACACTTCTTAAGAGTCATACCATAAAACGCCCACTAGGACTTGTGTATTGCCTATAACTTCCTCGGTATACCGAATCTGCGATCTGCATTTTCCACTCTAGATATTGAAATCAATTTTTCTAATTGTAGTCCATATTGGAGGTTCAGACCCCTACTCAAGGTGAACATGTGAATGACAACCACCGAGTACAAGCCGCCGCGACCCCCCCCCCAGATTGCCACCACTCTCGCACGACACTGGACCAAGCCAATTCACGGAGAAATTCCCTAGAGCCATACCAAAACCCAATCGTCACCTTTATCTGAGAATCTACTCTCAGGTTATCGTCGAGCAAGCATTCAAGCCTGAAATAGCAAGTACTCGTCTGTCCGCCCATCCGTCAAACCCCACTCAAACAAACTCTTGACCGCAATGGGACGATTAGAGAGGAGATGGGTATTATCAGACTCTTAGGCCCGCTAGTACCGGAGCCACCCGCCAGTGTTGACGCAACGTGGGAATCATTCTCCGGGGGTTCCAACATCAGGAGGATTCTGCCGACAAATCTAATACCTGCGAGAGAATCCGTGCCCTTCATGAGTAGCGCTGGATGGTCGCTTGATTGGGTCGGCGGAGAGACGTCAGGGGAAGTCTTTCCGTTCTTAGCGGGGAAAGCCTAGCTGGTTATCCAGATTTCGCTTTTAGTGTGATAATCTCCCAAGAATCAGCCGCATATTTCGGGCCTACAGTATAGAGCTCAGTCTCCGCCATTCACGACGATGCAATACCTTCTAGTTGTAACAGTCTTCACTTAGGTTATATCCACCTCGCGGACGTGCATTACCAACTTGACGGAAGAAGAAGGAGTGAGCGGTAAAATCTGACCCAACAACAAAGAATTCTTGCATTCGGTAATCCGGCCGGCAAAACCGTAGTAAAGTTGATTTTAACAGGAGGGCTCACCAAGGGAATGTAAAGGTGATACTGCAGTTGCCATTGTTTCCAGGGCGGGTATGGTAGGTGTTGGTCATGCTCATCAATAGGGAGATGGGGGGTAGAGTAGTGTCCGAGACTGTAAGTTTCTTTTGGTATCAGGATAGCCGAAATGTATGACGAAATCAAAATTACAAGTGATATTCTGTGAAGATAAAGATGAAGAGTGCATAAAAATTATATTGAATACAGAGGCAAAAAACAACAACAAAAAAACACGGGGTACCCACTCAATGGGCGGCCACTATATTCCTCCTCCCTCCCCCGCCCCTCTGAGAACTATGCCTGGTCTGGGGCGGTCGTTTCGGGAGAAATGTGGCAGGTTGGGTTTTCAATTTTCGGGTTCTTTAGGTGTACAGTACAATACCCATTTATACATTTAACTTTAGATACTACTACCTCCGTCAGCTTACAGCCATAACCCCTCTGTAGAATCCTTGCTCTGTGATGTTTGTATAAAATCAAAGCACCAAAGGAAGATAGAGTGGAAATCTGCTCTACGCGCTAACCGGCCCTTTGAATTACTTCACTCAGATCTGTGCAGCCCTATATCCCCCAAGTCATCTTCAGGACTACGTTACTTTATTTTATATATTAATGACTTTTCTCGGTCAACTTGGGTTTACTTCCTTCGAAGTAAAACAGCTATGGAAGTTGTCTCTGTCTTTCAAGAGTTTATGGCCCGAGTGGAAAAGCG